TTCCCCCCACTCATTTACTTTGCCGTTTTATACAAACAGGGTGGGGGCAAATAAGAGAATGTCTCCAAGAGGGTAGGGATGGGCTGTGGCTGATGCATGAAATGGTGATACCTTACTCATTTTACTAAATCTGTTGTTTAAGATAAGGATTTATGACATTATTTGAACTTGTGCCCAAATTCCTTGGTACATACCCTACTCTAACACTTCCTGAATGTACTTTCTATAGTTGCCTCCTATCACAATTGTGTTTCCTGTCAATTTCAATTCCACCCCTAGACTAGATACTGTCTCAGGGATTTACATGGCTGGACTTACACACTACCATGCCAGAAATCCTGCTTCTTTATCAAAGCTTTTAGTACCTTATATCTTACTTCCGCTCAGTGTCAGTGCTGAAAACTCCTTTCGCTGCCTCTTTTCATTTTTAATGAAGGCAAAGTTGGACATTTTTTTACTGGACATTTTTTCTACTCAAGCACCTGGAAATCCATATCTGTTTGGAGGAATGCTATCTCAAAGCAAACAAGGGCAAAACTGGAGAAATGACTGAGTAGTTCTAGCTGGTCAACCAACATACTCTAACATCTGTTTACTGCACATTGAGTGATAGTGAAACTGGACAAACTAGCTGTAATCATACTCTGTATGCTGGTTATTTACGTTCTAATACATGCAAAGTTTAAATTATTTGCTCTGGTACCTGGTACAAAGGGAAGGCGTGCAGCATTTTGCATATCATACAATCACAGGGTAGCTTGCGTTGGAGGGACCTTAAAGATCATCTAGATTCAAGCCCCCTGTCATAGGCAGAAACACGTTTCACTGGACCAGGTTTTCTCAGAGCCCCATCCTGAGGGGCCAGCCCACAACTTCCCAGGCAAACTGTTCCAGTGCCTCACCACCCTCACAGTAAAGTATTTCTTCCTAACATGTAATCCATGTAATAATCCATCCACTAATACGTAAACCAACTCAGTTTTCAGCCACTCTACCTTGTCCTGTCACTACAGGCTCTTATGTCTATCTTGTTGGTTTCCTTCAGGTACTGCAAGGCTGCAATTAGGTAATCTGGAACGTTTTTCTTTTCCAGGCTGAACAATCCCAACTCTCTCAGCCTTTCCTGACAGGAAAGGTGCTCCATCCCTCTCATCATCTTGGTGGCCTCCTCTGGACCAGCTCCCACAGTTCCATGTCCTCCCTGTGTTGGGAGCCCAGAGCTGGATGCAGGTTCCAGGTGGGCTCTCCCCAGAGCAGAGCAGAGGGGCAGAATCCCCTCCCTGCCCTGCTGCCCACGCTGCTCTGGATGCAGCCCTCTCTGGGCTGGGAGTGCCCATGGCTGGCTCATGTCCAGCCGCTCATCCACCAGCACCCCAAGCCCTTCTCACAGGGCTGCTCTGCATCTGCTCATCCCCAGCCTGTGCTGGTACTGGGAATTGCCTAACCCAGGCGCAGCACCCTGAACCTGGTCTTGGTAAATCTTCTCAGGTTCCCATGGCCTCATTTCTTGAGCTTATCCAGGTCCCTCTGAATAGTATCCCATCTTTCAGGTGTGTCAACTGCATCTCTCAGCTTGGTGTTATCTAAAAATTTATTGAGCATGCACTTGATCCCTTTGTCTGTCATTAATGAAGATAATAAATAACACTGGTCCCAATATAGATATTCTGAAGTCACTTTATAACATTAGGATCCCTGTGAGTCTCCAAAGCATTTTTACCTTTTCTTTCATTTTTAGAAAAGCTACTCCTAAGAACTATCATTAATCACTGTATGCAAAGGCACAGGAAGCTATACCTAATTTCAAATTTGGAATGCATACACAAACTACAAAATTGTATTTCACTTCTTTGAGGCAGGCAATATTTCTGTGTCAAACACCATATTTATTTATTAATTATCATTTGCTACAGCTAATCCTGGCATTTTTTCTTTTGGTTCTCCTTCACACTTCTCGCATTTGCAATGCTGATGTTTTCCAATCACCCCAACATGCAATGAAGAAGTCAGTAGGAAATGTTTTCTTCCACTTAACTTCTGCTTAACTGTATGCCTTCTCATTACCCTATGTCATGAAATTAAAAGGTAAACAGTGTCAGCTATGTACCCTTGCTGCTGGAACCTTAAAATACAAGGCAAATACTAAGCAAAAGCTTTGTGATCAAATTATTTTACCGTGCCTCAAATAAATATTAATAAGTGTGTATTGTACTATCCTATACCATACAAAAGATTAGAGAAGGATACTGTAAAGCCCAAGGTTTCTTTTTCTTATAAGAGTGGTTGAAATCCAACAGCAGAAATTAATGATTTTCTGTAAAAGTAGTACAGATATTAAGAACCCTTTTTTTGTAAAAGCATTTCTAGAAATGCCAGCTGAGACATCTAGTGAGCTGCCCTCTCCTCCTCCACCAAGATTCTTTTCTTTTGTCAAATGCAAGGAAAACTTCTGTCAAACTGAACTACAAAACTGATTCCCTACAATGAGTTGGTATTTTACTTTTTCTTAAATTAGAAATTAAGAAGATGATAGTGTAAATCCTTGCAAGATGTTTTCATTCTTATGATTGAACCTTACTAGTGAAACCCAGAAACACCTGCAAAGTCCATCTTCAGCTTCGTAACAGATACCTTGAATGGTACAAAGTATCTGTACTCTTGCCCCAGTGGGGCAATTTACTAAAGCACTCTTGCCCAGTGGGGCAATTTACTCAACCAAAAAGAGGCAGCTTTTAGAAGCAGCTACAGGTTTATTTCGAGCACAGCATAATAGAGAATACTCATTTGGAATGATTTTTCTGTGACTATTACTCACATTCATAGATAACTCTTGTATTCCTTGTAATTATCATATAAACCCTGACAAGTTCCCCTTTTCAGCTGTGCTGTTCTGGAGCTAAAAACATGTCACTGAAGGGAGATTCTGGCACAGTCTGTGTAATGTGTACACAACCGATCTTGGGGAACTGACCCAAAAGTCTATAAAGCTGAAAAATTAATAACTACCTAGAATTTTCAGTAGATTCCGATGCAAACAGATTTCTTACACTTATAGGATTCAAATCAGCAATGGCATTGGACTCATTGTTTTCTGCTAAATATTGCATCTTGAAAAAGGACTAGGAAGAAAAAAAGAAGTGTAATTTGCAGAAAAGGAGAAAATTATCATTGAGAGATCATGACTTCTGAACTTAACATATATTTCACAAGTGATTTTTCACACTTCCAATACTTCAGTCCTAACAGGTCCAGAAGAAAAGATGGGAGACTAAGGAAATTACTGTAGATTTTTTTTTTTTTGGTCATTGGTGTCTTCAAAGGCGCTTAAGACAAGCTTATAATTTCACCATCAGTCTTCTAAACTGTTATTTTGTGCTCAAGATAAACCGCTAGCTAATTCTAAAAATAAGGAGGTTTTTTGTCTTCCTGTGGTTTTGGATCTAATTCTGCTCTTCTGTCAAATTGCAACAATGTGCAAAAGGGAAAGCTGCATGGTTCACCCTTACTTTGACAGAGTGCTAATATTTTTTAACTGAAAAAAACACTGAACATGTCAACAGTATTTGGTATCATGGTATTTTGTAGTGATTTTAAGTGATTGTGAAAACCAAAAGAATTATATACTTTAATCTATTTCAGCCATTTTTAAAAAGAATCACATCTGATTTCAAACTCTTTAAATATACATATCTATGACTATAATCTTTCTCCCTCACAAGATAACTGTCACAATATAAAGAACATTCAAACTTCCTTATTTATCTCTTAATGCTCAACAGACGGATAAAATAAAAAAAAAAAAAAAGTCACAGTTCCTCTAAGGGACTGTCTCAATCTACGCTGCTACACTGTATGGTCTCCAAGCCCGTAAAAATATGGAGCTTTGCACGCTGAATCTACACACATCTGTACTCCATGGATGTGCCCATGGATTACTCCATGGATTCAACCCAAGGACTCGGGAGATCTACGCTTCTGTGGATAAAAAGAGCAAGAAAGAAACCTAATGGAAAAGAACACTTAAAAATCCTATTAACTGTTAATGCCCTAAAGAAGAATAATTTCGTTTTAAATTTACCTGAAATAATTGTTCTACAATATATCACATAACTTGGTCAGAGTAGGACTCTACTTGCCACTCTTCTAAAGGATTGTTTCATCTAACAAAAGTCTTGTTTTACTTTGTCCAAGAAAACATCACATCACTTTAAACTAATCTAGACAGCTACAGCATAAAGTGCATGCAAATACAGTGCTAACAAAGATAACTGAATAATACTGGCAGAACACAAAACTAAGAGAAATTTCTCTGGCACCAGGCTTGTAGAATCGACTACAACCGATACAATAAACACAGTTGTTTTCTTGGAATCAAAACAGGGAAGTTTGGTAAGAGAACCCCCTTTTTGAAAGATTTTTTTTTCAGTCATAAATCTTTCACAGGCTATGCACCATTCAAACAGTAGCCCTACTTTTGTGCACACTTGGCTGTTTATAACCTGCCACCACAGGAACGTCTCGTAGCAAAGCAAAATAAATTTTCTTTTGCACCTAAGTTTTAGATTTAAATTCCTGAGACGCAGGGCTAGTGGTATTTGTTTTTCGAAGCACCGCAATACAAAAAGGTTTCAGGCTGGCGATGCCTTTCCAGCCGCCCGCTCCCACCCTGACACGAGTGTTCCTCTCCGCCGCCGCTGCTTAGGACTCTGCTGTGTCCCAGGTGCTCCAGCCTCCCTCCCACCCGCTGCTGAGGGCTCCGGCTCTCCTTTCCGCCGGTGTCCGCGACACCGCAACGCCGCACCGGGAGCGGCAGCGCCGCCCGCTCCTGTGGCTTCGGCCGCCTCCCCAGCCCCGGCCCCGGCCCCGGCCCCAGCCCCGTTCCCATTCCCGGCCCCGGCCTCGTTCCCATTCCCGGCCGCGGCCCCGGCGGGGGAAGGGGCGGTGGCGCCGGGGCAGTCGCCCTACGGCTCCCCGTGCTGGAGGCCGGGGCCGCTGCTCACCGCTGCCTCGGGGTCCCTCAGCTCCGCGCCGCCGCCTCTTTCCGGCAGGCAGCCCTCGGGCGGCCGGTTCTGGCGGGCCGAACCGTGCCGGGCTGCGGCCGGACCGGGGCCGGACCCTCCCCTAGCTCCGCCGGATCCGCCGCTTCCTCGTTTTCGCTCGCAGCCGCGGCCACTTCCTCAGCGCGGTTGGGCGAGCGCTACCTCCTCTCCAGCGGGCGCGGCCGCCGTGCCCCCGGACCCCTCTTTCGAGCGGCGGCCCCGGAGGAGGGCCGGGCACCGCTGCAGCCCCCGGCGGCGCCGGGGTCGCTTGTTGCTAGTCGCTTCTCCCGCGGGCCAGGGAGCGTCCGTCTCCTGCGGACCCCGCGGCACGGGCTGCCCGGGACCCGTGACGTGCGTCCCTTGGTGCCGCCTGACGGGGCTGTCCCCGGGACCCCGCCGTGCCGGCTCGCCTTGGCGCCCCGGCCCGGGCTCCTTGTAGCGCCGGTGTCGCCTCACGGGCATCTGGCTTTGGAAGATGGACGTGTCGTCGCTCAGCACCACGCTGGAGACAGAGGATCGGAGTGTGCCAATTGCGGCTTCTGGAAAGGGAAAAAAAGAGTGTGTGCATATTGGTGCACATGTCAACTGTGAATTGGTAAATTCTGGAGTACTTAGGTTCTTTGGTGCTTTCTGTGTACTTCGCCGAGAAAAGGACTCCCAGAGGGTTTCCTTTTGGAGCAGCAAAGGGGCCTGCCACAGCACGGTATTACACTTCCTGCTGTATGTCACACAAAAATTTCTCCCATATTTTGATCAAGCATTTGTAGCAACTGCAGGTGTGAAGGAGACTCTAGTGTCCCACGCATTTAGCTGGAAGGAAAGTCCCAAGGCGTCCTTAGCACCCTGTATGACGGAATTAATTCCTGTGGAAGCTGAGACCACACAACCAAAAAGTGCTGCTATCGTGACTGCCCAGGCACAAACCACTCCTAATGCCGGTCATACAGGACTGGGTGGCATGAGGGGCCTTGAGTGAGGCCGGGGTGGGTAGGTCTCCCTCAGGGGTGACTGTGCTGCATGACACAGTGAGGTGTCCCGTGATGGGCAGTCCTTGCAACAGGAAAAATCCACTTCCTTCTTCCCCATAATAAATTGGTGTTTGCACTATTGTGGGATACAGGCATTATTTTCAGTCAAAACACTGTCTCCCTTTCCTTATTGCAAAATGGACTGTACACCTGATAGTAGAGCTGCCAAAGTACAAATCCCGCATATTTCGTGCCATTTAAAAAGGTCTCTGCTCTTGATTTGTTTCAGTGAGACTTTTGGCAATTGCTGTAATGGCAGTGCATTTCTTATTGGTACTGTCTGCATGTTAGAAAAATGAGAATAACTTAGAAAACCTAATTCTTAGACCTGTTTTTGTGGTATTGTTCCTTTCCTGTCAACATCCAAGTGTGAGCCGATCTGCAGGAAAAGCTTTTGCAAAGTCATTCTTGGACTATGAGCTGTTTTTTAAGCATCTAAGCTTAAATTGGTGAAAAAAATCACCACTACTGCATAAGCAATATTCACACTACTGAATCACACTACTGAATAAGCTATTCCTTCCCTTGCTGGGATGGCATAGCTTTCATTACAGCAGCCAATATAGTGCTGAAATCTTTGATTCTGGCTAAAGGAGTGTTGATACTACACTAATAATTTGTCTGTTCCTGTACACTAGTTGCACAACGTCAAGGCTTTCTCCACATTTCACTTTGCCCCTGTCCCCAGCGTGTAAGCCGGAGGTGCACAAGAAGTTGGGACAGGACAGAGCTGGGACAGTTGCCTGCAAGTGAACAAAAGGATAGCTCTTATCATGATCAGCACTCAAAACTGGGTATAGATGAAGGAGGGTGGAAGGATGTGGGCTTCTTCCAAGGCAGCCACTAATGTGATATTTGCTGCTTGTCACTGTGCTCGTGGGAGGCAGTGGGTGACCAGGTCTGCATCATTTGGTGTGGTTGTGATGTTGCTGCTTTCCCCTTCACCTATTAAATGATGTTTATCTTGACACATGGCTTTTTTTGATCTCCCTTCTCTGCTGTCAGTCCCGCTGGGCAGGGGGAGCTGAGCATTTGACTGTGTGGGTGCTTGGCTGCTGGCCTAGGTCAGCTTATGGCACCAGTGGAGGGGAAACCCAGTAAGTGAAGCAGAGTTTTTAGACTGTCCACAGTTTACTTTTTCTTTCATTTCATTCAAGCTATTTTACAAATAGCTGAGTTCTGCAATACTGATTTTTGGTAAGGTGCTCACAACAGTGTGGTGTCTTGTTTCATGTGTTACATGTAATGTTGTATATTAGCATGTCCATATTATCATTCTGAAGCTTTCCTGTGATGTGTGGCCAGCTCTATTTAAGGCCAGCAACCAATAAAGTAAAATGTTTCATCCTTTTTTTCTGGAAACATTTAATAAGTGTAAATCTGGATTTTCTTGAAGGATTCAGTAAATTTGTGGATTTTCCTACCCAACATGAATATATACAGTAGAAATTAATAATTTTTACATGGTGCCCAAATAGTTGTGCAGTATAATAACTGCAACATTTAACTTTGTAATACTCTGTATTTTTAAGAGTTTCTGAGAGAGTTTCAATGCTTTCACTTTGGCAATATATTTTGAATGATCTCTGCTTTCAGCAGTTATGATTGTTTGCTTTAATGATTTATTAGAATATTCTCAAACCTCATTTCTTTACAATACTGACTTTAGGATCAGTAGAAATTATAAGATAAAATTTAAATTTATAAAATTTACAAGATTAAAATTCACCCTCTCCAAAACTTGCAAATTTGAATAAAGTGTTTATTCTGTTGCTTTCCTACTACTTCTGTTGCCTTCCTTCTGTCTTCATTGCTGCAGGGACTGGGTGGTTTGGAGAAAATACAGGTAGGTATGTTGAAATAAGATTTTGTTCAGCAAAGCTGTTGTTTCTGTTGTACAAGTGTAGGCAACTTTTGCAGATGCTGTTTGCCCTGCTTGAATTCTGCTCGAGCACAGGGGGTATTACTGTGGTTTACAGTTTAGGTAAGTACAGGCTGAAGGTGGGCGTTTTCTGCAGTGCCATCTCCATTTCTATAGTAGGGAACGCTGAAGTTAGACTCATGCTTTGTTGTCTGATTAAATGTGAAATTGTATAAAACGCATAGCTACCAGAGATGCAATGCCACTGACAAGATGATTTTATTTGAGGTTCAGTTTCTCAACATGTGACCATATTTACAGTTAAAAGTAAAGGGTCTCTGTGATAGAAGAAGTTGGCGTCAGTAAGATGGGACTGTACATCTCCACAAAAAGAATGCAGAAGTGATGCATTTTGCTTAAGATGTATAAAATTTCTGCACAGATCATTGAATTCAGTCATGGTTTGAGCAAAAATATATTCTATTTGGGAGTTCTTTATTATCTGCTTCATTTTAATTTTGATGGAAGCGGTGATTCCATGCTAGCACAATAGCAGTGAACAACATTTAGAGAAAATCAAGTCAATAGCCTGAAAGCAATGTTGTGACATAAAAGCAAATGTCATAGAATCATAGAATCACAGAATGGTTTGGATTGGAAATAACCTTAAAGATCATTTCAGCCCTCTGCCACAGGCAGAGACACCTTTTACTACAGATGTCCTGTATTAGAGTCAGAAAAACTGAACTTTTATCAGAAGCTTCAAAAAGTAAGGACTGTAATCTCAAATATTTTGGCCTCCTTCTGTTACCCAAGGAGTTGAAAGATCCCTATTTTATGTAAGAAATAGGCCTGAAACACTTCACAGATTTTAAATACAAGGTATACTTCTTCCATAGAGTTTTCATTCACTTGTAGATCAATTTAAGTGGAAAACACTAGTGGCAATCCCTAGGGGAAATTCAGTACACTTAAACAGAAGTAAACTGGAGATGTCCAACAAATTAATTGAATTGCTTGTTCATTGTAAGAATCTATAAATTATAACTGTTTTGCTTACATACTAATTTACTGCTTTGACCAGAAATGTCAGTAGCAATACTCTTTGCTATATGAAATGAAGAGTAATAAGAAAATTCAGGGCTGTGAAGGTATTTTCTTTGTCAGTTCATATTAATTGTAATTATATCTGTGTTATTTTATATCTATATAAATATAACTGTTTTAATACTATATTTTTTCATGCAATAGCCACATTTATCGCCTTTCCCCTCTGTTTTTACCTCAAAACAAGAAATGTGTCACACTTCAAAGTGTTGATAGTTTTGCTTACCAGTGATTAAGAGTAGTTGTAGGATATACTTTTACACATTAAAGAGTGAGGAGGCATGATGTCTAAATTTAAGTTTAATGTGGGGCAATGCCAGCTAAGATTAGTTGAGAAAAGATGTGTTATGAGCCTAGATATCTTTACGAAAGACATACTTACATGGAAATGAAGATTTAGGCCAGTCTAGTCTTTATTATTTCCTCCACTGCTGGCCCATGACTAGTTACTGCTTCTAGCTTTTGTTTTTATAGAAATGATGTGTCTGTTTAAATGAATATTAAAGAATGGTGCATTGCATTTAAACACTGGCTGAAAGAAGGAAAAACATATGCAATAACAATTTATGATTGGAAACCAGGGGTTTCCAGGGGTTATGATTTAAAAACCAGGGGTTTTTAAAAAGTAAATCTTTCTGTAAAATAATTGCCTAATTGTAGCACAAAATATAACTATGGGCAACAAGGAGATGATAAACTTATTTTTAAGAAGTTCTGAGCAAAATTCTTAATAAGAATTTATTAGCATTAGCAATCTCTGCTTTGATTGAAAACCACCATGAAGGTGAAAAAAAAAGAAAAGAGGGAAGATAGATACATAATCACCTTTTAACTGTCAGAAGACTGAGTAACTATGGGGGGATTCTGTTTCAGCCCCATTTCCAGGGCACTTCAGTTTGTGAAGTGCTGGATATGTCCATAGCCTCTGACAACCATCTTGGACTGTCACAGTTGGCAAAAAGAACAGTGTTGGCAGCCCTTGCGTTACAGCTGATGATTGCATTGACATGTAGTTACACAATCAACAGAAGCCTTTTATTTTCCATCATTGGTTGTGTACAGAGAGCATGGAGAGCACATTTTCTTCATGCTGTTCCATTTGTGATCCCTCCTGGTTGCAGCATCAGTTAATGGAGGAGGTAATCCACCTCTCCT